AATGAAAGCTTTGCTGCATAGAGCAATCTTGGATGTAGATTCTTGCATTTCATGACTTGGGATACTTCTTTCCAGCCCCTTCCTGCCTGTAAGGTCTCTTTTGAGAAATCAGCTGACAGTCTTATGGGAACTCCTTTGTAGGTGACTGTCTGCTTTTCTCTTACTGCTTTTAAGATCTTGATGCTTTTCTCTCCCCACCTTTAATCTTCGGTAATGTAATTATGATGTGTCTTGGTGTGTTCCTCCTTGGGTCCAACTTTTTTGGGACTCTCTGAGCTTTCTGAACTTCCTGGAAGTCTATTTCCTTTGCCAGATTGGGGAAGTGCTTCTTCATTATTTGTTCAAATAAGTTTTCAATTTCTTGCTCTTCCTCTTCTCCTTCTGGCACCCCTATGATTCGAATGTCGGAATGTTTAAAGTTGTCCTGGAGGTTCTTAAGCCTCTCCTCATTTTTTGAATTCCTGTTTCTTCATTCTGCTCTGGTTGAATGTTTAGTTCTTCCTTCTGCTCCAAATCGTTGATCTGAGTTCCAGTTTCCTTCCCTTCACTGTTGGTTCCCTGTGTATTTTTCTTTATTTCACTTTTTATAGCCTTCACTTTTTCCTTTATTTTATGACCATATTCAACCATTTCTATGAGCATCCTGATTACCCATGTTTCGAACTTTGCATCTGATGGGTTGGCTATCTTTTCATTGCTTAGTTCTATTATTGGAGCTTTGTTGTGTTCTTTCATTTGGGCCATTATTTCTTTGTCTCAGTGTGCCTGTTACATTGTAAAGGGCAGAGCCTTGGACATTTGCTGGGGCAGAGTAACAACCTACATTGCTGCATTGTAACACTATATGTGGGGGAGGGGTCAGAGAGGGAAACAATGCCACTTGTTCTGATCTCGCCCCACTTTCAGTCACTTTCCCCACTGCCCACAAGCAAACTGGGCCCTTCTGGTTCTGATTCCTGTACAGGGGATTTGTGTATGTTCTAGGACCTTGTGGGTCTCTCCAACAAACTCTCCTGTGAGGCTGGGAGTTTCTCCTGCTGCCACAGCCCCCACAGATTTTTACAGTCAGATGTACTAAGGCTCTCTTTTCCAGCACTGGCACCCAGGATTTCGCAGTCTGTCTCGCTCCCCATTTGTTCCTCCTGGTTTGTCCACACACGAATGTGGGACTGCCTGCTCCTCCAACAACAACCTTACTGCCTGTCCCCACCCCCACTATCAGTCTGAATGAATGTTTCTTCTTTAACTCTTTGGTTGTCTTATTTCCATACAGTTCCGTTTTCTGGCAGTCGTAGTTATTTTTTGTTTTTAAATTTCTTGCTGTCCTTCTTTCGGTTGTGCAAGGAGGCAAAGTGTATGCCTCCGTCTTGTCTGGAAGTCCTAAACAAACACTTTCTCATTTGTACAACGGTTCAACGAGGAAAGATTGATAATGGGCTTATATTTGAATTTGATTAGTAAAAGTTCAGAATACTAGCACGACCATATAAAATGGAAAGATATATGAAAAGAATATTATTGCAGAACTAAAACATTCCTCTCTCTAAAGAGACCTCTGTTGAGGTACCACGACAACATTGTTTAACCTGTGACACAAGAGGTCTGAAGGCCAGTGAAGATCCTCACAGAGTTCTGAAAATCTGACATTCATGCAACATCAGCTGACAGCAGTAGAGCCTTAAAAAAGGGAACGGATTCCAGAGTATGCAAAGCCCCTTTGCTCAGACTAACAGAAAAGAAATAAAACTGAAAACAGAAAAGAGTCAACAATTCCTTAAAAGTTCTAAACAAGAAAAGGAGAGTGGCTTTCCTGCAACTGATTTTCAATGATCAATACTGTTTTTAATTAAATGGGAAAAAATAAAGCTCTCAGGACCTATTAGATCACTAAAAAGAAATAGGTTTTAGCCAAAGGCAGAGACTGCCTCCCTGTAATATAACATTATACCTAGAAATCTCTGATATCCTGGACTTTTTAATAAACACCCCTAATCTCCTAACCACTTTTAAATGTCATAATTTTCACTGACATTTATTATATATTTTAGGGAGACCAGAAAGGCTAAAAGTGCAGGCATGCTTTGTCACCTACAGATTCAATTTCTTTCCACAGCCAGAAATGAAATACACCAATTACTATTATCAAACAATATAGGTATTTCCATAAGTATTTTTTAACATTGAAAAGAAAGCAAAGTGTTTTCTCTCCTTAAACACAACCTTTTCCAGAAAAGTCTTGGCCGCTTAACTTGGGAGTAGGGAAACACGTCAGCCTAAACTAATACTTCCCGGTTTCCACTGCACTATTTAATCCAGAACCACCTTTTAAAAGCATGTAGGTCACTGCTTGTATTAAAGTGACAAAATATGAAATTAAACATTTCTTATCAATAGTGATCCTCTATTGTATTGTCAGAGATGGAATTCCAAATCACAGCTCAAGCTTTTATTCAAACTGACAATTACAATGCAAATATCCAGGTTCCAGTTTCTCAAAGGGGATGGGAAGCAATCTTCCTCTACCTCTTTCTTTGTAATTTTGTGTATTCTGCAAAGAAAGAAGAAAATAGTATGGAAAATTTCTCTAATTTTCTCTTGCAAAAGAGAACAACTGTCTCTTCAGTCGCTATTATTATTATGCTCACCAGATGCAATTTACTGTGAGAACAAATGTATAAAAATCAAGGTTAAAAAAAAGGCTACCCACATGCTGTATCTAATTATTCAACAAAGTATCCTCTTCAAAGTAATTGCCAACCAAAAAGGGTATTTCTCTTTTGTGAAATGAAGGAAAATGGAATTTTAAAAACAAAAACAGAATTTTCTATCAGCTTACATTATAATTTCAGCATTGCAATTTTTGGTTCTAATTTTCAATCAGCAGTGTATCTACTTTAAAATTTTTTAATCTGTCAATTAAGAAGAGTCAGTAATATTCGGTCACAAATGAGTAGGTTTGTAGAATATCACTTTTGAAGAAAAACATTTGGTAAAAAAATTCCTTTGTTTTTACTCTTTTTGTTTTCTTATTTCTAAATGTTTAATTTATGCAGAGATTTATAAAACATTAAGGGAATTTTGAAAAATTTATTTTCTATAATAACAGTAAAACTCAAATGTCAGCCCTAGCTGAGTAGCTCAGTTGATGAGAGCGTCATCCTGATATCCCAAGTCTGGAGGTTCAATCCCTGGTAGGGCCCATACAAGAAGCAAGCGATGAATGCATAAATAAGTGGAAGAATAAATCAATGATATTTTCTCTCTCTCTCCCCCTCTCTCTCTCTTTCTCTCTCTCGTGTGTGTGTGTGTATGTATATATATATATATATATATATATATATATATATATATATATATATTCCCCTTCCCTTCTTCTCTCTTTTTAAGATCAATAAATTATTTAAAAACGTAACTAATGTAATAAAATAAGAATTCACAAATCTATACCAATAAAAATGAATGAATGAAAAAAGAAAAAACAAAACCCTTCCTTACAGTAGGATTCCAACTAACACATATAAACAAACAATGGGATTTTTTTCAAAAAATCACCACTTAGCATCCCTTACAGTAATAAGTACTATACCAGAGAAGAATCAACAATAAATGCTAAACTTCATGGGTATAATAAGAAATAGGCTATTTGCAAGTCTCAAAGAGTCTCCCCATAAAATAAATAATTAAAAAATACATAACAGTAACTTTAGAGTGGAAAAACCTGGCAGACAACGCCTCAACGAAAGGTTCAGTCTTCATCAGCAATGGGACAAATCAACCTTACACACATCCTGATACGACATCCCGGAAAAGCCTCAATACCAGTACTCTGGGTTTCCTGCCACAAGTCCATAACTTGAATCTAGTTGTGAGGAAACATCAACAAACCCAAAACGAAAGACGTTCTACAAAATAATTGGTGAGTATCTACAAAGTGTCAAGGCATGAATGACGAAGAGACACTGAAAAAGTGGTCCAGATTAAAGGAGACTAAGAAACATGACAGCCAAATGCTGTACATGACCCTGCACTGGACCAGAAAGAGACATTAGTGGCAAAATTGGCATAAATCCTATAGACTAAATCATAGTGTTGATCCCATATTAATTTGCTGTGATTAAGGAAGAGAACATACATACCATATCATTTAAGTGCAAAAATATTTACATCATATGTGCAACCAACTCAAAAAAATGTGTGTGTGTGAATATGCACACAAAAAGTGATAAAGCTAGTCCAGTAAAATCTGAATACTGGGGGAATCTAGGAATAAGATATACAGAAAGTCATTGTTCTAATTTCTCAACTTTTTCATAAGCCTGAAATTTCAAAATGAAATGGGTACCTAAAAAGTAAGTGACCTCTATTTTTAACTGGTTTGATGATAGTCTAGCCCAGGGGCTGACAAATTTGTTCTATAAAGGGCCAGCCAATATTTTAGGTTTTGTGGGCCATACAGTCTTTGCCACAAGTACTCAACTCTGCCACTGGGTCACAAAAGCACCCCCAGAAAAACTGGAAATGAATGGGAATGGCTGTGTTCCAGTAAAATCGTATTTACAAAAACGGAGCAGATTCAGTCCATGTGGCCACAGCTTGCTGACCTTTACATGTCTAGAAAATTTTATCCCTGTATTATACTTTCAGTTACCATTTTTTAGCGCATTGCAGATACCACCTTAAGTGCTCTCCTGCCACTAACTCATTCATCCTTGCACCAAGGTGACTGGGTTAAAACCATGATCACCTCCATTTTCCACAGAGGAAATGGGCCTAGAAAAGCTCAGAAACTTGCCTGTGGCCACACAGCCCTCAAGCAGTAGACTCTGGGTTTGACCTAAAGAGAGTTGTCTTCACCCATGAAACTGTAACCAATATGATACATTTCTCATATGGGCTGAATACTGTCACGTGCAACAACTAACGAACCATTCCATTTTAGCAATCACTAAACAAATATCCAAACTCAAGATTAACATTCTGAGAAGGTATTCTTCCCAAACCTCTTGTAGCTGCAAAGAAATGAGTCCCAGTTGGTCCTGACGTCTTTCCACCAACTCTCTCTCTGTACGCATCTCTCTCTCTATTTCCTGTAGCCGCCGCTCCACCCGATCTGAAACCTGAACACAAACAAACAAAGTCAGTGACATTAGAGAGCTGTTAGTGAAAAAAGGCTAAATTAAAGAGCCACTTTATGCCAGGTTCACTGTTTGTAGAGCCTTTTTTCGCGACACCATTATAAAACAGATCACAAAAAATAAAAATAACTGACAATTATAAAAGAAAACAATCATCAGTCTCAAAACAATCCAAACCTGAGTCCCAATAAAGGACTTACATTGTTCAAAGTATAAAATATTCATTCAATAGATCAGTTAAAAGTAATAAACTAGAAAAGAGTGCCCTCTGGTGAAACAGAAGGAAAATAGCAATTTTGCAAGAGACTGCATTTATTAATCTGATAAACTGTTCTATCTACTTAGTTCCTTATCATTTTAATTATCTATAACAATGACCTGCCTAGGAAGGTTTTGATGTTTATGTGCATCAAATAATTGAACAGGCTTTTCATTAGCTTGTCAATCTTGCCTACTGTGATCTGCTAAAAACAAGCCAGCTGTAAAAGATCAAAAACTAAAGTCAAACTAAAAAATATTTCATTGGTACTCTCTACAATAAACATGAAAGAATTTTTATGTCTGATGCAAGATTTCCCTTGCTCAATGTTTGGGAAATACAAAAACACGTCGTGCATTACCATTAGGTACTCCCTGAAATTAAAATCTGTACTATTTGACAATGTGCATCTTTGATGCAGGTGAACAGAACACATTTGCATTTGTTTAAGAGAAACAATAAATACAGCTCTGTTATAAGAAATCTTTTGCCACCAAGTCTATGTAGCCAAGAAAGGTTTTGGTCACCAGGGATCTTTCTGGGAGAAAGAAAATGTTCTAAACTAGATTGTGGTGATGGTTGTAACACTCGGTACATTTACAAAAAATTGTTGAACTGTATACTTAAAACAGATTAATTTTATGATAAATATTACCCCAGATCAAGTTGTTTCTCAAAACACACTGGTACACATGAGCTTAATAAGTCAATAAAGGGCAAACAAAAATATTCTCTCAAAAAAATCAGTAGTTACTTTTTACTAAAACTGGTGTTTCCAGTTTTACTAAGTCTGGTGTTTCCAACTTCAAGTGCTTAAAAACAAGATAGTTATTATGATAGTCATAGTTCTTTACCAAAAACTGAAAATACTCCTCAGCAGCAAGATTCCAATTTATCCTAAAAAATCAACCCTAATATCACAACAAAAAAATTCACTACTACATATGAAATAAATGTAGCACCTGCTATAAGAGAAATAATACTAAAAACACAAACAAAAGTCAATAACTCATTCAATTCTTGCAAAATGGAAATATCTTTATTGTACACTGTGAATATAAAAAATAATAGCAACACACCAAAAAATAAATAACACAGAACCACCTCAAAATTATTAGTATGGCTACTATAAAAAAAGTGGAGAGATGGGAATTGGTGCACTGTTGGTGGGAATGTAAAGTGGTACAGATGCTATGGAAATAGTGTGGTGGTTCCTTTAAAAAATTAGAAATAGAATTACCATATGATCCAGCAATTCCTTATCTAGGTATACACCCAAGAGAATTGAAAGCAGGTCTCAGATATCTGCACCGCCCCCTTGTTCAGAGCAGCATTATTCACAAGAGCCAAAAGATGGAAGCAATCCAAGTGTCTACTGACAAAGAAACGTGACTTACACATACAATGGAATATTATTGAGCCTTAAAAGAAAGAAAATTCTTACACATGCTATAACATGGCTGACCCTTGAAGAGATGATGCTAAATAAGCCAGTTACAAAAGAATAATACTGTATCATTCCTCTTACATGAGGTACCTAGAATAGTCAAATACAAATATAGACAGCAAATAGAATGGTGCTTGCCCGAGGCAATGCACCTAGGATAGGGTATCGGTTCAGTTTTGCAGGACGAAAAGAATTCGGGATTTGGTTGTACAAGGTGAATGTGCACAACCCTACTGAACTGAACACTTCAAAATGGCCAGGGTGGCAAATTTTATGTTATATATTTTACCACAATTAAAAAGAAAGAAAGAATCTGCTAATACCATCCATCAAAGAAAAACCACTGTTAAGCATTTTTGCTGTTCACTTCCAGAAGTTTTCTAAGCATATGTGCATGGCTGGTCAGACACATACCTATTTCACTTCTTTTTCTGAACAAAAGTTGGGTATTTCACATAGTGTTCTATAAATTTTTTTGCTGTTCACATACTATGGACAATTTTCCATGATAACAAACAATCTACATATTCATTCTTAACAAGTGCACAGTTCTCCATAACTGATTAAAATAATTCCCTATTGATAATAGGATAACATTTATTGTTACTGGTACATGCTATGACAAATACTCCTATATCAGATTATTTTTGTAAAGTAATGATATGAACTTTAAGTGAAATTGTTAAATCAAAAGATATATGAATCATTGATGAAGTTATTAATCAGGGATCACACAACTAATCAGTGAGAGAAATGAGCACATACTGGTCTCAGTTTCCGGTAGTATCTTGTAATCCCAAGTCCATTTCCAGGTGCTCCTTCAGTAAGCATGCATGAACTCTAATCTGTTCCAGTTAATGTGAGAGCTAGAAGTTCGGGATAAAGCAATACACAAGCTGCATCCACAGACCCTGCCTTCTAACAACTCACTATCTATTAAGCAGCAACATTGAGTAAGAAGTTAGGATTTCTCTAACTAAATTCAATGAGTTGGATCAGTTCCATATGTCAAGAAAGAAAGCTGTGTGTATTAGCATCTTATCAAAATTAAAGCAGTTCAAGTAACCAAATACTGAAACCAAAATCTAAAATTACTTAGACATTATCTACTTCATCACTTAGACATTATCATCACTTGCGGCCAGTACATGTGATGATGTAAAGTTGCTGCACTTGGAGGACTTTCTCCCAGTTTTGAAATGTTTGTGTGAAGCAGCTTCTGACAAGGTTTCAGTGGCCCCTTCTTCCTCGTATTCATGCACTTGTGTAATTTCTTCCTCTTGAGTGCAGGTTGGCCCTAGTGACTTCCTTCTAATGAGCAACACAGAACAAGTAATGAGATGTCACTCCCATAATTAGGGTACAAAACACGGTGACTTCCATCTTAACCTTGCTGGCCCTCTCTCTGGCCTTCCTGCTTGCCTGCTCTGATGAAACAAGCTGCCATGTTGTGAGATGCTCTGTGCAAAGGCCATGTGTCGAGGAAACCAAAGAGCCCTCTGACCAACAGGTCATGACAAACTGATACTTCAGTCCAATAATTTACTAAGGAACAGAATGAGCTAGGAAAGAAACCCATCCCAAGCAAGATGTGAGATGATCACAACCATGAGAGACCCAGAGCCAAAGGAGCCAGCTAAGCCACATCTGGATTCCTGACCTTCAGGAATGGTCAGAGAGTAAATGTCTCAGGCCAATAAGTTCGGAGAAATTTGATATGCAACCATAGATAACTAATGCAATTTTAAAATCTATTTTCAAATAAATCCTCACCCAGGAAATAAGCTAGTCTGATGAAAAAATACACACACATACTCTCCCCTCCAACCACAAAATTTCTATCCACTCCATAGAACTTCATTCTCCGTTGCAAAATACTTGTTTCCAGTGGTATTTGGCTTCTCCGTAACACAGGGATACATGACCACCACACTTCACTCCCCACCACATACTGGCCTTGTAATTAGCCTTCTAAGTCAAGCATGCACTATTTGAGCTGTACAACTAATTTAATCTCCAAAAAAATCAATATCATCCATAAAATGAGAAAAATAACTTGCTCAGATTGCCATACAGAGTAATGTGGATTGAAACACATAGAAGTAGCCCACGGTGGTCTGGCTCAGTAGGCTGAGTGTTGTCCTGCAAACTGAAAGGTCACCAGTTCACTTCCTGGTCAGGGCACATGAGCAGGTTGCAGGCCAGGTCCCCAGCTGGGAGCAGGCCAGATGCAACCGATCCATGTTTCTCTTGCACATCAATGTTTCCCTCCCTTTTTTCTCCCTCCTTTCCTTTCTCCCTAAAAATAGATAAAATAATTTTGTTTAAAGTACAGAGGTAGTAGGACAGAAAATATAAATAACATGGTAGAGACTAACAGTTGTCTCCAATATCTATTCCCCTACTTCCATGTCTTTCATCATAAAGAAATTTGGTGGCTACCAAATGTAAACAATATATTTTCTGGCCTCCTCAGCTACTAGCTGGCCATGTGACTTAAATTCTGGCAAACCGGATACATACAGAAGTGTCAAGCGACAACTTCAAGGAATTATCCATAGAGACAGCACATAGGTGCCTTTTGCTCTCATCCCTTCCTTCATCTTGCCTGATACACAGGTGCTGCCATCAGACAATGAATCTGCGGCCATAACGGCAGAAAAACTAGAAGAGCATGACGGAAAGGGCCGGAAGACCTCATACACTGTAGTTCAGTACAATGGAAACCTGAATTCCCTACTTAAGACTTTCCCACAGTGAGAAATAACTTTTGTCTTTTTTAGCCCGCTATTAATTGGTTTTCAATTATTACTACTAAAATTGATCTTTTTATATTTTTTAACTTTATTTTTATTTTTATTTTGTTAAAGATTTCATTTATTTATTTATTTATTTTTAGAGTGAGGGGAAGAGAAACGTCAAGGTGTGCTCACTTCTCGTGTGCCCCTCACTAGGGGACCTGGCCCACAACCCAGGCATGTGCCCTGACTGGGAATCTAACCCGAGACACTCTAGTTTGCAGGCCAGCATTCAATCCACTGAGCCACACCAGCCAGGGCTAACTTTATTTTTATTGCTGCCACTATTACAGATGTCCCCATCCCCCCTGCCTTTGCCTATTTCCACCCAGTGCCCAGCCCCCTGCCCCCTGGTCATCACCACACTGTTGTCTTTGTCTATAGGTCATGTATATATGTTTTTTTTGCTAATCCTTTCACCTTCTCTCATCGAGTCCCCCCTCCTCCCTTCCTCCTGACAGCTGTCAGTCTGTCCCAT